AAAAAAGTGTGTTTAAAGTTCTGTGTTAAAGAATGCATGCCTGGAGCTGGAGAGATGGCTCAGAGGTTAAGAGCACTGACTGCTCTTCCAGAGGTCCTGAGTTCAATTCCCAGCAACCACATGGTGGCTCACAACTATCTGTACTGAGATCTGGTGCCCTCTTCTGGCCTGCAGGGACACATGCAAGCAGAACACTGTGCATAATAAATAAATAAGTCTTTAAAAAAAAAAAAAGAAAGAAAAGAAAGCATGCCTGTAACATTACAAGTTACCCATAATGAATGAATTTAATGGAGACAGTGTTTTGTTCTATCCCCATTTCTCCTTAGGAATGATGGCAAATAGCAAACAACCTTTTCAAGGCAAACTGACTTCTATGGTCCAACTGTAAAGTTCAGGCAAAACTTCTGGTTGGGTCCCTTCTGAAGATAAAGAACTAAGGCCTGCTGAGTTAATAAAGTAATGGGAACTTTTACTTTGGCTTTAGCATTTTTTATTAGAAAGAAAAATAAAAGCAACTGAAAATAAGAGATTTAATGGACAGCAGACTCATAGGGATGATTTCTTTGGAGCAGCGAGAATGCTTCGGTGGTACAGTAATTTCTCTCTGTCCAAAAAGTCTCATTAGAAACATGTGTGTTCCTGCAGAGGAGCACAGCAGGTATCTAGAAAATATGTGAGGACTACATAGAGGAAGGGCAAAAGAAAGTGAATCTGGATCTACGGGAATAGCTCAGTTGGTAGAGTGCTTGCCTAGCACACACAAGGTTCTGTGTTCAATTCTCAGCACCACATAAACTGCATGGAGCACACCTGTCATCCCAGCACTGAGAAGTAGAGGCAGGAAGATCAGAAGTTCAAGATCATCTTCTACAATATAGGAATAAGTGTGAAGCTAATCTGTACTACTAAGACCCTATGAAGAAAGTGTGGGACAGATGGAGTGGAAAGAGGGAGAGAGGAGGAAGGGAGAGAGCAGGGAGGGAGAGAGGGAGACAGGGAGAGAGAAGGAGGGAGACAGGGAGAGAGGAGGGAGGGAGAGAAGGGTAAAGGGGGAGGGAGAGAAGGGTAAAGGGGGAGGGAGAGAAGGGGAGAGGGAGGGAGGGAGAGGGGAAGGAGAGAAGGGGAGGTGGCGGGAGGAAGGGAGGGGAACAAAACCACACCCATCCGTGTTAAAGGAACTGGTTCTGTAAAGGAGCAATGCCAGGAGGGAACCCGGGTGCCTAGGAACCTAAAGGTGCCCACTGTGGCCATTCCAGGAGGGCGCGGAGGGACACCCAGGACCAGATCCTCTAGGGTTGCACACACCATTTTATCTAACTTGTCTCCACATGATTTCCTCCTCTCCCCAGCTTCTATCCCTCTCACAACTAAAAGCAGTGCCAGTTTTCTAACTGCTGTTTTTCTACTCCAGGAAAGTAGGTCAGCTGAGTTCCAAGAATGTTGAGTTCTGGTTATCAGAGTTTTAAGAATTTCAAATCTTCCCAAGGAAACCCATGGGCTGGTTTTTTCTGTTAGTTTGTTTGTTTGGCAAAAATGGTTCAGAAAACAAAGCAAAAACCATAAACATTCTAAACAGTCTAGTTTTTCCTAGAATTGTCTTCTTGAAAAAAGTAATATCCATTGGCAGCTGAGTTAGGACCCTGAGACGCCACATGAGTATCAATTAGATCATAATTTAAATATCAAGATGTCTGTATTTTCACACCTCGGCTTAACTGCCAAAAATAAAGAGAAGCATGCTGTAATCTAGTTCTGTCCCCGGCACACACAAACCAGAAAAGACGCCCTTTTGACTCTCTACCTCGAACCCACTGTGCAAGTTAAACCCAAGCACAAATTGTCCGACAAGTTAAACTGGGCTAGCACCCGGAAAACCGCAAAAGCCAAAAAAGATAAACAGAAAGCACTTCGTTGTCTAAAACACAGGCTCTCACGGAGACAGTGAAAGAGTGTCAGCTCAGAGAAGGCAAAGGAGGTTTCGGTGGATGGGGGAGATGAACTGGGGCCGGGCCACGGGAAGGAGGCGGACGGCAACGCCCCCTTCCCTACTGGGAAGGGAAGGAACTGCGGTGTGGAAACGGCTGCTGCCCGAACGACGAGGCCGAGCGAGCAGCAGCCTCGAGGCATCCTCCCCGGCCCCCAGGTCCCCGCCCTGGCCCGGGCCCTGGCCCTGACCCGACCCCCGACCCAGCGCCCGCTCGTCCTCCGCCGCTCTTGACCTCACCAGCTGCAAGCCCTTGAGAACGCGCTGAGGCCTTGAGAGCCGGCCCAGAGTGAAGCAGGCGGCCAGGCCGCCCCTGCCGGCACCCGGGGCCGCCTCGGTAGTGGGTCCGTACACCGCTCGGTTCTCCATCGCCGGCTAAAGGTCGCCCGCTTAGCAAAAGTCTCCGCCGGCGCAGCAGGGGGCGTCACTTCCTGGGACTCCGCCCCCGCTTCCGGTCAACTCCGCCCTCGCCACGCCTTTGTCACGCCCACTCGCTCGCCACGCCCCAGCTGGTAGAAAGTCCCTCCGTTTGCCACGCCCTTTGCCTCGCCACACCCCTTGTTCGCCAAGCCCCCTCCACCTTTCCGGCTCTCCTTTAACTCTTAAAGTGCTGGTAAGTGACAGTTCCATGTTTTCTGTGGACTTTTTTTGTTTGTTTGGTTTGGTTTGGGCGGGTTTGTTTTTTTTTTAATTACATTTATTTTTTAATCTACGTGCTTAGTGAGGGGCGCCGTGTGGAAGTCAGAAGACTATTCAGGGAGTCAGTTCTCCTAACCTTTGAGTGGGACTGAATCATCTTTAGGAGTGGCGGCTGGTGCCTTTAGCTACCGAGCCATCTCCCCGCCCTGACTTTTATTTTGGTTTCGGTCTGATTTTTTTTTTTTTTTTTGAAACAAGATCTTATCTGCCCAGACTAGCCTAGAACTTGTAGTAGCTCTAGGAACTAGTACCAATCCTCCAGCCTTGATCTCTGTAGTGCTGGGATTACAGGCATGCACCCCTACATGCTCAACCTGTTTTGTTTTTAAAAGGTGTCAGGGTTCGAACTCAGGGCCTTCTGCATGCTAAAACCACACAGCCCTGTCGATGCACCCCCAACCTCCTCCAGTGGAGTTTTGATTGATTTCTCCCTTCCCACTGTTGTGGGATATTTGTTTACTGTGTGACGGTGTATTTGTTGTGATTGGTGTAATAAAAAGCTGACCAGCCAATAGCTAGGCAGGAGGTATAGGTGGGATTTCGGGAGAGAAAGGAAGAGGAGGGGAATCTAGGCATACTAAAGAAGCCAGGAGACGTGGGAGAAGCAGGAAAGGCAGTACATGACAGAATGTAGATTAATAGAAAGGAGTTAATTTATGTGACAAGAGCTAGTTAGAAACAAGCCTAAGCTAAGGCCAAGCTTTCATAATTAATGAGAAGCTCCATGTCATTATTTGAGAGCTGGCTGGCGGGACCGAGAAAGACTTGCTACATCCCATGCTAGTCCATTTTTCAGATAGTCATCTTTTCTTTCATCCATGGGGGGTGGTGCACATGTGTATGAAGGTGCAGGCTCACATGTGTGAGTGTGGAGATCAGAAGTCATGTGCCAACCAAAGACACAAAATCCTTCCTGACAGGACACTAAGCAGAATAATGAAAGTTCCAAATGACAATTAATAAACAGATTAATCAGAATATCCGGTATTGATAAATGACATGAAGATACTGACCATGCCAACCTATAATGATTCAATTTTGGATTTTAACTTAATGATAGTATGGAATCCATACATATTCAACAGAAACCACTTTTTGGACCTGGAAGTTGGCTCTTTTCAATAAGTTATATGAGATAGTCAACTATTATTTTAAAAATTTGGATTTATTACTTGAAATTTTCCCAAACATTTGCTAATGTAGCTGTGTTTAGGGCAGCTAAACAAATATACTGTATTTAACAGGGTTAGACACATTTGCAACTGTTCGTAATTTTTATGAAATAAATCATTCTATCAATCAACAGACTGCTGAACTGGCCAGACAATTCTCAAAAGAAAGATAAGTGGCCAATGAGTACTTGAAAAAGTGTTCAACATTCTTAACCATCAGGAAAATGCAAATTAAGACTGCTGTGAGAACCCATCTCACCCCAGTCAGAATGAGCATCATCAAGAAAGCAAATGTCGTGAAGGACTGGGGAGGACAAAACTGTTCTCTGCTACCAAGAGTGCGAACGTGTTAGTCACTATGGAAATCAGTGTGGGGGTTCCTGACACTAGAACTCCATTTGACCACCTACACCATTCCTGGGTATACACAAAGGCCTCTAAGTCAGCGTACCATAGAGACTCTTACACATGTTCCCAATAACCAGGAACTGGAACCAGCCTAGATGTCCACCAACAGATGAACGGGCATAGAAAATGCAGTACATACACACAGTGGAAATTTACTTAACAGTTGCTGTTCTTTTTAGTGAAATCATGACATATGCAGGAAAATGAATGCAACAGAGTATATATAAGGTAAATTCAAATATATCAGGTAAATTCAAATATATATGGTAAATTCAAATATATCAGGTAAATTTGAAAGACGAAGACCATTATGGTCTCTCATATGCAGATCCTAGATTTAAAATTATATAAATGGGGCTAGAGAGAAGGCTCAGTGGTTAAGAACAATTTCTGCTCTTTTATAGGAGCTGAGTTCAGTTCCCAGCACCCACAGAGTAGCTCACAACAAACCTGTAACTCCAGTTCCAGGGTATCCAATGTCCTTTTTTGGTCTCCCCTAACACATGTATACATACATGCACACACACAGTGAGACAGAGACAGTGAGAGACAGAGAGACAGAGAGAAATACAAAGAAAAAAGTTAAACAATAAAAATTTAACTTTTATGTGTATCTGTACACCACATACATGCCTGCTGCCTGCAGAGGTCAAAAGAGGCCATCAGATTCCCTGGAACAAGTGTTATAGTGTAGCTGTTTGTTATTTTACTTTGTGGCTCTTTGCTATTTTTGGGGGACCCCACCAACCAACTCCCAAATAAATACACATGGAGACTTATTTAAATGCCCAGCCTTAGCTTGGCTTATTTCTAGCCAGTTTTCCTTAACTTAAATGGGATCATTTACCTTTTGCCTCTGGGATTTTTCCTTTTCTTACTTCTGTAATCTTATTTTCACTCTTACTCAGTGGCTGGCTGTGTGGCTGTGTGGCTGGGTGGCTGGGTGGCTGGGTGGCTGGGTGGCTGTGTGACTGGCCCCTTCTTTTCTTGCTCCTTGATCTCTCTTGCTTTTTCTCCATTTATTCTCTGCCTGCCAGCCCCTCCTATCCTTTCTCCTGCCTTGCTATTGGCCATTCAGCTCTTTATTACACCAAGCAGGTGTTTTAGGCAGGCAAAGTAAACAGCTTCATAGAGTTAAACAAATGCAACATAAAAGAATGCAACACATCTTTGCATCATTAAAACAAACGTTCCACAGCATAAACAAATGTAATACATCTTAAAATAATATTCCACCACGTTATAGGTAGTTGTAAACTGCCATGTAGGTGTTGGGAATCAATCCTGGGTACTCTACCAGAGCACCAAGTACCCTTAACCATAAGCCACCAGTCCAGTCCCAGGATAATTTTTAATTTAAATGTGTGTGTGTGTGTGTGTGTACATAGCTGTATTTGTAGATCCTGAAACTAGAAAGGGCTCATGAGAGGAGGGCGATGCTGAGGGAGATGGGAGGGAGGGAGATGGGAGGGAGGGAGGGAGATGCTGAGGGAGATGGGAGGAAGGGAGATAGGAGGGAGATGGGAGGGAGGGAGGAAGATGGGAGGGAGGGAGATGGGAGGGAGATAGGAGGGAGGGCGATGAGCACACAAAAGCAGAATTGCAGCCTGAGGGAAGAGAGGGAGCCAGCTGAGGGGGAGGGGAATGAATGAGACCCAAGTACAATGACATACATGTAAAATGCCACAGTGAAAAACCAGACTTTGTATGCTGACCTAAACTATTAAGGTAGGGCTGGAGATGTAGGTCAGATGGTAGTGCTTGCCTAGCATACATGAAGCCCTGGGTTGGATCCTCAGCTACACATAAAACCTAGTTGATGGCACACACCACTAATCCCAGCACCCTGAAGGAGGACCAGAAGTTCAGGGTTACCTCTGGCTACACAGCAACTGAGTTTGAGGCCAGCCTAGACTACATGAGACTCGGTAGCAAATAAAAATAAAAATAAAATAAAAAATAAAAAATTAACTTAGTCCAGCAAGATGGCTCAGCCAGGAAAGGTGTGAAACCTCACAAGCCAGTGGACCTGAGTTGAATCCTTGGAACTCATAGCGGTAGGAGAGAACTGACTCCTAAAAGTTAACCTCTGTTCTCGGTTGCGGAATAACCTTTTTGTACACTGTGAGGATGCTGCGGGCTGCAGAAATATGAAGTAGGGAGTCAGCTGACTGTGACAAAGCCACACCTGGAAGAAGCCAGGCCCTTCCAGAGGTAAAGCCAGGGCTCAAGGAGTCTTGGTGATGCTGGCTTTGAATATCAGCCGTTTCCTGCTATGAATTTCTCGTGTGCTAGTGTAGCTTTTCCATTCCTAGAACAGTGTGTTTGATCATCCATTGGGCACAATTTCCCCTATACAATAAAAGTATTTGGATATATATCTCACAATTGTGCTAACAGCAGTCACAGCCAGACCCCTAATTTCAGGCCTTTCTGTAATTATCGTTATTAGCAACACCAGCTAGGGCCATCTCTGGACAGAAGGATTTTATCTGAGATACCTCTCAGACTTTCTAAGGACAGACTGTAGATAAGACAAGCATCCAGACCACCTGCTAGTCTCCTAAATTAAGGTATGGAGACAACCACCAAGGCCAGGAGGATGTTAGGCACAAACCTTTGCTTCTTGTGGAAATTAAGCTTAACCCTTCTTTCTCTCATATCCCAAAATGGTACCTCTAGATTTCCCCTTTAACAACTAACTCAGAACAAAAGGGCCTTCACATACCAGATGCATCAAGCTATGACACAGGCTTCCTGGCTACTGAGCAGACTTACCCTGCCCGAGCAGAAAGAGGCAGAGCCAGAGAATTGTGGATTATATGTGTATTTAAACTGGACTGGGGAGAGACAAAGATGGAAGGAACTTAGAACAATGAGAGGACAGGAGAGGAAGGGACAGAGAGGAGCTAAGGATGAGAACAGAATTGAAGCTGTGTAGAGAGATTTTTGACTCAGAAGAATAAAGTGAATGGACTAAAGGGATTTGTATACATAGATTTATTTGAGAATCACAGATTAATTAATCTGCTGCTCATAGCGTCTCTTCTGGAACTCTGGGAGAAGACTTAGAGGGGTTGGACCCCAACAGTCTTTGTTATGAGGATGTGTCACTCTGATTGGTTTAATAAGAATCTGAACAGCTAATAGTTAGGTAGGATTTC